GAGGATTCACCGGAGAGAGAAGTCTAGATCTCTCTGCACTTCTTCTTCTACGACGAAACGAAACTTTGGTTCGTCACCGGCGAAATTCCTTCTTCTCCGACGTTATAATGCCGGTAAGTTTCTCTCGCTCATTGTCTAATTCTGGATCTCGAAGATCTAATTTCGTTCTTATCTCTTTTTTTTTTTTTTGTCGCGTCGTGCGGATTTTGCAGTATAAGACGGTGATAGAAGTGGAGCCTCCGAGTCTGTTGAGGTACTTGATCGGAGCGGCGGTGATGATGATGGGCGTCGTATTACCCGTTGGTTACATGATGTTCAGGAACAAACGCGTCCCCTTCTCATCTTCATACTCTAAACAGACGTAGGTGTGCTTTTTCTTTCACTCTCCGTATATCTCTCATCTGATCTGCAAAATCAACATCTTCACCATTGTTGTACGGATTGTTAAACTCACAATTCGAATCAGTTGTTGATTTCTGTGCAGAATTGTATTAGAATGGTTCACAAAATTCGTGTGCAAGTAATTTAGTTTGCCTTAAAAACCTAAAGAATTATTTGTTCATTAAGGCATTGAGTGAGTCAAAGAACTGAATTAGTATTGTTCTTTGCTATTTTGAAATGTGAATCAGTCTCAAACTTGGATTAGAGATTTAGAGGTAATTAGGGTTGAAGAGATGTAAATGTTTGTAGCTCCTTTTGAAAATGTTAGCCCTTTCAATGCATTGTAGAGACTGAAAGCTTTCAGTGTACTTTGTGTGTGTTTGGATCGAGTTCAGGTGGGGAATCCATGGTTGATAGATGATCAAAAATTATAGTGTTGCTCGTCTTCGTTTAGGCTATAAAGAGGAAGGTGAATCTTTTGCTAGTCAAGTAACCTCTCCGGCGTTTTATCGACCTCTTCGATTGATACTAATATGATCTGACACTTTTCTTTACTTTTCAGGAACAAAGTTTTGATTTAGAAAGCCAGAGGCTGCAGTTGAATTCAACTATGTTGAGGAGGAGGATGATGACATAATTGATATGGAGGAATGTAAAATTATGGGGAATTCTTGTTTTTACATGGGTTGTAAGAAGAGATCCTTCTTCGATGTCAGATTCATAAACCAAATATGTGAGTACTTTTTCTTCTTTGTTTCTTGATTAGGTTAATTCAAGATCTATGATGTACACAACCTCTTCCCTTTGGTGGAAATATATCATTCACTCTCTTAAGAGTATTGTTGAACTATAAATTCATATAACACTGAGCTTCTTTCTTTGCATCTTCTACTTACTTTGTTTTCTGTTTCGCTGTAATGTTAATGACATGCTT